TTTAAAAGGTCGATTTAAACACAATGGGATGTTAAGTGAGATCTCCCTCTGTGATCTCAGAAACCATCTGTCTTGGCTTTAGAGAAACTATTTATAGCAGAGAGGACTGATGTGGTGTCAAGACCAGGTCCCAGAGACTTAATACCTCTAAACACAGCAAAAATATCTCTTGGACACACAACAAAGAAGACACAGAAATCTTAATTGGGAGGGTTGGAGCAGATGTTAAGGGTCACCAGAACTCAGGATGTCCTCTTTCCCCATGCCAGAGCTGGAGTCAGGATGCATCACCTAACCAAATGTGCAAAGGTTCTTTTGTACTGAGTCTCAACGTTTTCCACCATTTCCCTTTGATATGCTCTCATCTTTGCTAACTTTCTGCTAGCTGGATGCCATCCCAAGACCTGATTGGAAAATGTAACCTACAATATCAGTTAGGTTGCACATTCCATGTCAACATTTGGAAGGGGAAAAAAAAGGAAAAATTTAAGATTTGCATTGTGGTAAATAATAGCTTTATTTGTTAAAGCGCTTTCCAACCCCTGCTGTTCAGCCTCACTGAAATGACAGACAGGCCTATATATTTCTCCTGAGTCTAACTTATGGCTTTTGATGAGGTACCTGAGGTTAGGAAATAAAAGCTGTGTCCCATCCCTCATTTTTAAGTGGTGCTTATTCTTCCAAGGACAATGGGATTTACAGTCTCAAAAGGCAGAACTATATATTACGAACCTCAAGAAGCTCCAGATTGGTTTTTTTTTTTTTTTTTTGGCTGCCTCATGGTGGCAGGGAAAGGAGAGTACAGTATTTGGCAAACAGCCTCACATCCAGGTTGCAGGAAGTGATGGAATTCAAAGGAAACCCTCAAGCTATCAGCCAGCAGCACAAATGAATGCAATATTGAAGACCCAAGAGCAGCACTGACACATCTTGTTCAGGGATGCCAACCAACCCAGGTAAAACAAAGTCAGATTAACAGGAGCAAAAGCAAAACCACAACTCATTCAGCTAGGCTGGACGTGCTGATCAAACCCTTCCGATTTACTACAGGAAATCTATTCCCATATAAAAAGCAATGTAAAGACTTATATTTACAAAAATAAACAGAAGGTTAATTTTCTGTTATGAGGGAATTCACTACAGAATTTAAACTGTAATTTCCCAGGATTATTGTTTTTAATATTCAGGAACACATCCTCGGGAAAGTGTGGAAACAGGCCTTGGGAAGGAGCCATCACCCAATGTTCAGGGTCAACCAGTAGTTTCTGAATACTAGGGGCCTTGGTTTGACGAATATATATATACACACACACATACACACACACACACACACACACACATATATATATATATTCCACTGTTTATAAGATGTCTGATCCTCACCATAACTCAACAAGTCAGGAATATTAAGGTCATTTTGCATATGTGAAAATAGAGAGTTGGAGAAGGTATGTGCCATGGGCAGTTGCTCACTGTGTGCTAAGCATCCTATGAAGGTCATCTCTTTGATCATCCTAGTAAGTCTACAAGGTATTATTATCTCGGTAAATACAGCACGGAATAGACTGAGAGGTTAAGAAATCTGCCCCAGCTAGTAAATGGTAGAGAGGGAATATGACTGAGAGCTAAAAGAGAGGAATGGTCAGCATCACCTCTGAGTTTGGCTGAGGACCGATCATGAACCCAGGGAAGACTTCATGGGGAGGAGTGGCTTAGAGGAGGTAGAGAAGCTTGATGGGAGCGGGAGGAGGGCAGAAGACAGCAAATTCAGGGAAGCAGGGCAAAGTCCGAGATGCTGGAGTGCACATGTAGGTTTGGGGAACGATGGTCTGGTCTGGACCTATGTTGATGGTATGTGAGAGCTTCTACATAAAGTGGGAGCTAGCTGGGTGGCTGGTGCTAGTCATAGTGTTTCTGTGAACTGTTGAGAGACCAGATGACATAAAATTACAAAGAATTATTAAAAATACTAATAGAAGATACAGCATAGACCAAATTCCTGTATGTATGAAGCCACACAGCAGCTCCTGCTTGCAAAGGCAAGAGGAGAATTCAAGGACATTTCAAATTATCATGAACTCCAGAGAAAAATTTTACCAGTACTTTTATCAAGCTGAAGGTTCAGGTGAAGTGGTTCACTAGCAGGGTGGGGCTCAAAACCAGGATTTTCTAGACCGGGCCCAAAGGTAGGAAAGGGAAGGACCATGACCAGCAAACATGTAAAAGGCATTAATGATCGGGACAGGAGGCAGAGAAATTCTAGGCAGACAGGGGCAGATCCCTGGCAAAACCCCACCTTTAAGCCTAGAAGCCTGAAACCCTTGGTCCAAAGTGATAACATCGATCCCTGTTTGTGTGCTCTCTTCCGATTGGTTCTTTCTGAATAATATCTTTTTACCAATCGAATGTTGCCATTCCCAAAACTACCTACGGCCCGCCCCGCCCCACATCCTGTGCCTACAAAGACCTCAGAGACCCACTTGGTACAGGAGAGAAGTGGCTTGACTGAGGAGAAGCAACTTCACTTTAGAGGGACGGCTGGGCTTTGGAGGAGAGACGGCTTACCTTTAGAGAACAGCCGACTGGACTTCAGGGAAGACTCCACCTGTGCCGTCCCCTCTGCAGCTCCCCTCTCCACTGACAGCCACTTCCATTGCTACATAAAATTCTTCTTCTCCACTATCCTTCAAGTGTCTATGCAACCTAATTCTTCTCGGACGCCAGACAAGAGCTTGGGACTCATCCAGTGTGGGTACCCACAAAAGGCTCTCACACTGGCCCTTTGCCCTCGCTGGCGGGGAGCAGCTGCCCTATGCAACAGGCAAGGGGCCCACTGAACTGATAACGCACCGCTGTCCAGGTACGGCGGAGCTGAGCATTGTAACATAATCTCTGGAGCTTCAGGGGTCACAGGCACCCCCACCTGGTCTGGCCGAGGGGACCCCACAGAGCCTGCTCCTGCCAGCGCCCAAAGCGGTCAGCTGGATCCTGCACTCGCTCTCTCACGCGCTCCTTCCCATAACAGGCTGAGTGCGGCGGTCCAAGAAAACGGAGTACCCCTGTTGCAAGTCTGATGAAGGGGTCAAGAGAAAACTCCCGCATCATCAAGACCCTAGTTTCAATCGCCTATGCTGTTCTCGAGTTTCCTAGTGCTTTAGGAGGCTAATGTTTATTACACAAAAGTAGAACAGGATCTCCCCACCCCCGATAGTACCACCACAAAAATGTTATATTACTGCCCAATGTGGGAAAAAAATAGTTTTATAGACCCGGATATATTTGTGTTATCTGGCATGTACAATTTATTGCTTACTAAATAAAATGGGCAAAAGAAATACCAAAATATTCATTTAAAACATATTAACAAGAGTGATTGTCTCTACGGAGAGGCCCTGGTGTTTTAGGAAGGATTGGTAGTGAAGGGCAGAGCTAGGGCAAAAAGGTAGCGGGGAGATTTATTTTTCACTTCTTACCTTTTATGGCAACTTAACTTTGTGTAAGATGCAGGTGTTAAATACACAAACACACAATTTTCCTTTTGTGTCAATTTAACTTTGTATAATATGCAGGTATTAAACACACACACACACAGACACACATGCATTGATTAATCACATCTTGAGTAAATCAAAACCCAGGAAAAGTTTTCATTTTAATCACGCTATTGAGTAGAGATAAACAAAAGGTACTGAATAATAAAAAATCAATCATCCTGGCTAGGCATAGTGACTCATGCCTCTCATTGCAGCATTCTGGGAAGCTAAGGTAGGAGGATCGCTTGAACCAGCTTGGGCAGCATAGCAAGACCCCATCTCTATTTATTTAAAAATAAAAAAAACAATAAAAAAATCAATCATGTCAGGAAACAGTAACATTCTAGACCAACTTCTAAAAAAAAAATCATGAGTAGATATGAAAATGGTCAGTGTAAAAGGAATCCTAAATTGCTGGGCTGGAATAATTCATGTATACTTTTTTTTTTAACAGAGACAGGGCCTTGCTCTGTTGCTCAGGCTGGAGTATAGTGGCATGATCATAGCTCACTGTAGACTGAAACACCTGGGCTCAAGTGATCCTCTTTCCTCAGCCTCTTGAGTAGCTGGAAATACAGGTGTGTGCCACCATGCCTTGCTAATTAAAAAAAGTTATTTGTAGAGATGAGGTCTTGCCATGTTGCCCAGGCTGTCTCAAACTCCTGGCCTCAAGCTACCCACCTGCCTTCGTTACCATGCCGGCCTGATGTATACTTTTTATCTATCATTCCATTAAATAATGATGACGAGAATAACAATAGTTCCTACTTACTGAACATTTACTATGTGCGAGGCATCCCCTTAAATACAAGTGCATGCCACTCCACTCAGCTAATTTGTGTGTGTGTGTGTGTGAGAGATGGAATGTTGCTTTGTTGCCCAGGCTGGAGTGCAGTAGCATGATCTCAGCTCACTGTAGCCTCCACTTCCTGGGTTCAAGTGATTCTCCTGCCTCAGACTCCAGAATGGCTGGGACTATAGGTGTGTGCCACCATGCCTGGCTAATTTTTGTATTTTTAGTAGAGATAGGGTTTCACCATGTTGGCCAAGCTGGTCTTGAACTCCTCAGCTCAAGTAATCTGCCTGCCTCGGCCTCCCAAAGTGCTAGGATTATAGGCGCGAGCCACGGCACTCGGCCCACCCAGATAATTTTTGTACTTTTTGTAGAGATGGGGTTTCGCCATGTTGCCCAGGCTGGTCTCGAACACCTGGGTTTAAGCGATCCACTTGCCTTGGCCTCCCAAAGTGCTAGGATTACAAGTGTGAGCCACTGCGCCCAGCACTGATGAAAATTAAACACTGAGAAAAACTTGAAAACTAGCTAGACTATGGATGCACATCTATTTATGATCACGTTTTCTCCTCATACTATGAAAAAGGCAAGTCTTGCAGAGTCATGGCGCAGGGTCAAAATTAACCTCAACAACTAGTTCTATGACTGGATACATTTTACTTCTAGAAACTTACCAACGGTGTGTCTTTTCCTCCCACAATGCTGAGACCAAGCCCTGAACGTCCCTTGGATATTTCTATAATCATTTCCTGTCCAGGGATAATGGGGCACGTTGCGGGGTCCACTGACAGAGGAGCCTGGAAACCACCTGGAAAAGAACACAGCATGACTGGCAAGTAAGAGTTGCAGCTCAGCCTGCATGTTCCATCACGTGGGGAGTGTGGGGCTTGCACGTGACAAACACCATGAAGCAAAAAGCTGGGTCATTCCTGCCTATTCAGCCAGGGATGACACTTTTGAGATTAAAATGATAACTCCCACCCCTCAACCCATCAATTTTACTTGAAAGTTTTAAATCTTATTTTGTTCATTTATATTTTTGAGACAGAGTCTTACTTTGTCGCCCAGGCTGGAATGCAGTGGTGCAATCTCAGCTCACTGCAACCTCCACCTCCTGGGTTCAAGCAATTCTTCTGCCTCAGCCTCCCAAGTAGCTGGGATTACAGGCACATGCCCCCATGCCTGGCTAATTTTTGTATTTTTAGTAGAGACGAAGTTTCACCATGTTGGCCAGGCTGGTCTCGAACTCCTGGCCTCAGGTGATCCGCCCGCCTTGGCCTCCCAAAGTGCTAGGACTATAGGTGTGAGCCACTGCGCCTGGCTAAAAGTTTTAAAATCTAAAAATACATCATGAAAATCTGTATGGAAAAATTACAATGATTAAACGATTAGGTTCATGAAGGCCTATGTTACAACGAGAATAAAGGCTGGTATAACAGGAGATTCTGAGCTATAGAATACTAATTAAGAAACAGTGCCTAAATACTTTCAATTAGAGCATATCAGATGAATTAAATTATTAAGATGTATAAAGGATATAATCGATAAAGTATGAAATGCCTGAAAATAACAATTACCTAAAATTTATCCCCAAATATATTACATAGTAAGGCAAAATGTATTATAAACACAGGACTCAAAAATTACTTGTGGGGTTCATAGAGGAAAAGTTTATTTAAAAGTTATTGCTTTTTTACAAAGTTTTATTTTTAAAAACATTTGTTTTCGGTTGGGTTTTCCCAAAGAGTGAGGGAAAAAATGTTTATAGGCTAAGAAAAAAATGTTTAATAACACCTGTTTATCCAGTACAAAATCTACTTACATGCATTTTCCAGATAACTGAACATAACCTATTAAAAACTCAAAACATTCGGCTGGCGATGGTGGCTCACGCCTGTAATTCCAGCACTTTGGGAGGCCAAGGTGGGAGGATCACCTGAGGTCAGGAGTTCGAGCACAGCCTGGTCAACATAGTGAAACCTCGTCTCTACTAAAAATACAAAAAATAGCTAGGCGTGGTGGCTTATGCCTGTAATCCCAGCTACTCAGGACACTGAGGCAGGAGAATCGCTTGAGCCCGGAAGGCAGAGGTTGCAGTGAGCTGAGACAGTGCCATTGCCCTCTAGCCTGGCCAAGAAGAGTGAAACTCCATCTCAAAACAACAACAACAACAACAAAACCTCAAAACATTCAAAATGTTGAATAGTTTCAAGAGATGCTCATACAAATCATAATCTCCAGAGAATGTCGTTATTTTCTGATCACTAAGTTTGATCACCATGAGTATTGTTTCATACATTATGATACAATTCAGGCAAGGGCTGATGAGAGAGGGCCCCATTTGCTGGTCAGCTGCAGCTAATGCACAGAGCTGAGATGAGATCCCAATGCTCATCAAACCTATGTAAAGGCAGGGGTCAGCGGACTACAGACCACGGATCAAGAATGGCTTTTACACTTTCAAAAGCTTGAAAAAAGATCAAAAGCAAAATAATGTCTCAAGGCATGTGAAAATGATATGAGTCTAAATCTCAGTGTCTGTAAATAAAGTCGTATTGGAACACAAACCCACGAATTCATTTATGCCTAGCCTATGGCTGTTAGCATACTACAATGGCAGGGGTGAGTAACTGCAACAGAGGTTGTGTGGTCCATAAGCCTAAAATATTTACTATCTACTTCTTTATAGAAAAAGCTTGTCAATCACTGGTACAAAAGAAAAACAGGCTGTAGGTAAGCCTGTGGGGGTTCTGCTCTAACTAAGTGATAATCATGGTCTTTGGGATGAAAAGGTTTTGGAGTGGCAGAGAGCCATAGTTGAGTTCCTAAGCAGGAAGTTAACAGGAGGGTGAAAGTGGAGCTCACTTCTCATGAGAAAAATGTTATTTTTCTATTAAAGAGGCTGTTAGAGAAACTAAATGAACAGTGTGTGTGAGGTGCCCAGCCCAGAGTCTGGCACATTGTGGATATTCATATATCTGCTGTTCCTGTCCATATGGAATTGATTAATCTAAAGGCCTCCTGGTTAAGAGCAAGAACTTCAGTGACACAACCATAAAAAGTGCCATATTTGGAAGTAGCCTGTGGCCAGCCTATGTGGCTAGCACACTACAATTGCAGGGGTGAGAAACTACAACAGAGGCTGTGTGGACCACATCCTAAAATATTTACTATCGACTTCTTTACAGAAAAAGCTTGCCAATAAAACAAAAAGAAACACGCTCTAGGTAAGATAGAGGCAAGGCAGAATATTAAATTGTAAACCAAATTTGTCTCTAAATCTTTTTGCAGCATATGTATTTTATACTACATTTCCCATTAATTTACAATAAAAACGACATATGATAGTGGCACACTTTCATGGGTGCTTTAAAAAGTTTATATGGCTTTTAGGCCAGGTGTGATGGCTCACGCCTGTAATCCCAGCACTTTGGGAGGCTGAGGTGGGCGGATCACCTGAGGTCAGGAGTTCAATATCAGCTTGACCAACATGGTGAAACCCCGTCTCTACTAAAAATACAAAATTAGCCAGGCATGGTGGCTCACGCCTGTAATCTCAACTACTAGGAAGGCTAAGGCAGGAGAACCACTTGAACCCGGGAGGCGGAGGTTGCAGTGAGCCGAGATCACACCACTGCACTCCAGCCCGGGCAACAAGAGCAAAACTCCGTCTCAAATAAATAAATAGATAAATAAATAAAAAGCTTATACTGCTTTTGTAAATGACTAGCATAGTCTCCTCGGGGAGAAGAGAGAAAAAACACCTGGTGAGACATCCTGGAGATGAAATTTCTTTTCCCTCCTCCACGTCTGCCTCATCCCAGCCAGTCCTGAGTCAGTCTTTTTATTTACTTCTCTCATGGAATCCAGCCCCAAACCCGGCTCATACCAAGTCCTCAATAAATGCGTGGTAAGTAGATGAGTAAATGAATAAAATAAAATGAGTAAATGAATAAAGATTCAACTGTAGGATGACGAACTTCATTTATTTATTTATTTATTTAACCATGAGAATGAAAACCAGGAAGGATGCTGAATTTCTGTCATCTGAGTATAAATACGTGATATATATTACCAAAACTCAGCTCATCTACCTCCACAGTCAGCACGCATTGTCGGTAAAGTGCCAAGTATACATATTTAGGGCATTATAGGCCAGACTGTCTCTGTTGCGACCACTTAACGCCATCATTATAGTGTGAAAAAAGCCACTGATAAAACAGAAATAAATGAGTGTCTATAAACCTGTATTTGTAGAAACTGAAATATGAATTTCATAGAATTTTTAATAAAATGTTCTTTGGTGTTTTTTCAACCTTTAAAAAGTGAAAACCTTTTTTAGCCTGTAGACCATACACAGCTAGCTGGTAGGCCAGATTTGACCCATGCGCCATAGTTTTCTGACCACATGTATCAGGTGTTTTAGTACCACTACAGTGCTTTAAAATGGTACCTGCTGGATGAACTTTATGAAGTTAATATTTATGAAAAATATATAAAAGACAAATACCACAAAGATTTCAGGACTGCTAAATTAATGTAGGGTTATGCTTTGCCATTGGTGAGTACTGTCTTTTAAAGAGTTTTTTACTGCACAAAAGCAAAGTAGGGCTGGGCACGGTGGCTCATGTCTGTAATCCCAGCATTTTGGGAGCCTGAGGCAGGCAGATCACTTGAGGACAAGAGTTTGAGACCAGCCTGGCCAACATGGTGAAACCCTGTCTCTACTAAAAATACAAAAATTAGCTGGGCATGGTGGTGGGCACCTGTAATCTCAGCTACGCAGGAGGCCGAGGCAGGAGAATCACTTGAACCCGGGAGGCAGAGGTTGTAGTGAGCTGAGATCACCCTCCTGCACCCCAGCCAGGGTGACAGAGTGAGACTCTGTCTCAAAAAAAAAAAAAAAAAAAAAAAAGGCAAAGTAGAAATATCTATTATTCATTATAAAGTTCTATTTTCAACCCCCAGTCAACATAATTCAAGCCAGGAATTTAAAGAGAGAATGTGAATACCAATTTGGTTAAGCATTGAAAATCAACATTCTTCAAACAGCTTATAGCAACATTTGCAGGACTAAAAATTGGGTTTGATAGGATTTTTAAAGAGATATTACTCAAGACCTAAATATGATCTTTTGTAGAGACCAGAGAAGAATAATACAGAAGCCTCAGATTCAAATAACATTTACCAAGGTCCTTTTATTTTCTCTTTTTTGAGACAGAGTCTCACTCTGTCACCCTAGGCTGGAGTGCAGTGGTGCGATCTCAGTTTACTGCAACATGTGCCTCCTGGGTTCAAGCGATTCTCCTGCCTCAGCTTCCTGAGTAGCTGGGATTACAGGCATGCGCCACCATGCCCGGCTAATTTTTCGGATTTTTAGTGGAGACAGGGTTTCACCATGTTGGCCAGGCTGGTCTTGAACTCCTGACCTACTGAGGTCCTTTTTCTGTTCTCATGCTTTTATATTCAAAAAGCAATAGGCAATGGCAATGGCAGAGAGGAAGAAAATGGTGTAGGAAATGAAGTGGCCTATCCCAGCCCCAAAGCTAAGGAAGCGGAGGAAGCATCCAAAGTCAGGCTTCCGCCTCCTGGTCCAGTTCTCTTTTTAGGACATTATGATCCCTTGCCTTCTCTAAGGCTTAATGAGCCAGATCTGCTCAGGGAAAGAATCATACCATAGCCTATGAAGTCTGTGTCTGTTGAATGGTACGATGAATCTGGTGCTAACGGTATCTCTTGTGAACTGAAGGAGACTTTTGTTGGATATTTTTGCTGTTTCATCTGGCTGACAGCCTACAAAAGGAAGGAAAATTAGATGAATATCAAAAAAGAGAAAGGTAACAAGAAAATACCTTCAAACTGGTGTATTGTTGCCAAAACAATGGTGCAAACATCCAATGATGTTTTCTGAGAATATAAGGTTGGAGGGTGGCAAAAAGTTAGGATAATTTATGTTCATTCTTCATGCTTCCCTATTTAACTTTACAACTAAAATGCTTTGATGAAGGGCAGATCAAGGAAGGGAGGAAAGATAAAAGCTGAAGATACTCTGTCAGTGTGATCTGCACATGAAGCTGGGGGTGGGAGGCAAAACAAAAATTATTTTGCAATTTCTACTCATTCTGATGAAATTCGCAAGAAGCCCCTTTATCTACGGACTTTGAAGTGACTTATCTGTCTTGTGTACATTGGAAAACAATCTACGCTGGGGATGTTTAGAGCATCAACATTCTCCATTTCTTCTCGACACACTAGAGTCAAAGATGCATTTGGTAGGTTAATTAAGCAAAATGAGGGGCAAAGAAAACCAACATCTACTGAAAGCCTACTAAATGCCAGTTACATCAGTGACATTTAATTCACATAAAGGAACTGTGCTTTATTCCCCTATGATACCCAGTGCCTGGAACATAGTAGGGACTCAATAAAGTGCTTGATGAATGAATGAACAGGTGAATGAGTGAAGAAAGAAAAGCAAAACTGAAGACATGAGAAACTCAGGGTAGAAAGTGAACTTGTAATTCAGTGAAGGTATGGGGCCTTTACTGTGTGAGTTTGGGAAAAATTAACTTGTAATTCTGGATTTTTGCTGACAGTACCTCCAATGAATATTAATACTAAAAAACTAAGAGGCCAGGCACGGTGGCTCATGCCTGTAAACCCAGCACTTTGGGAGGCTGAGGCAGGCGGATCACCTGACGTCAGGAGTTTGAGACCAGCCTGGCTAACATGGTGAAACCCCATCTCTACTTAAAAAAAAACAAAAATTAACCAGGCATGGTGGCGCATGCCTGTAATTCCAGCTACTCTGGAGGCTGAGGCAGGAGAATTGCTTGAACCCAGGAGGCAGAGGTTATAGTGAGCTGAGACCATGCCGTTGCACTCCAGCCTGGGCAACAAGAATGAAACTCCGTCTCCAAAAATACACACATACATACATACATACATACATTCATAAACTAAGAAAAACCAAAAGGACTCCTTGCTTATTTAACAGGCAGTTAAGAAATATAGGTAGTAACCTGACCTGCCTTCTGGATCTGCAGTTGGCTAGGGAACCCATCCCCAGCTGGAAGAGTCCGGCAGTCAGGCTGCCCCTGGAGTCTAGAAATAGGACCCAGGTAACTGTTCCAGAACTGTAACTGTAACTGTAACACCTCAAGATTCTGTCAGTGGAAAGCCATGCCTCAATATAGGGCATTATGCAGTGTGCAGTAACAACAAAACAATACCATCCATTGTGCATATGCACTGGGCTTTCTAGTTTCCAAAACACTTTCACATCCATAAATTCATTCAATCACATGAACAACCCTGACAGTTAAATATTACTTTTTTTCTTTTTGCAGAAAACCAAGCATAAATGTCAAGTGACATATTTGAAGTCACGCGGCTAATTAGAGAAGGAGGTAGAACTGAAAGTCAATAGTTGAAGAATGCTACAAGCTTAAAGTATCAAACAGCTGATAGGCAATGATTCTATGGATGTTCTTTTGTTTTCTCCTGCAGCTTTTCTATCACTGTCTTCTTTTTTTTTTTTTTTTTGGACAGGGTCTCACTCTGGCACCCAGGCTGGAACAGTTGCGTGATCTCGGCTCACTGAAGCCTTGATCTTCCTGGGCTCAGGTGATTCTCCTACCTCAGCCTCCTGAGTACCTGGGATTACAGGTGCACACTACCACACCTGGCTAATTTTTTGTATTTTTTAGTAAAGATGGGGTTTTGCTATGTTGCTCAGGCTGGTCTCGAACTCCTAGACTCAAGCAATCCACCCACCTCAGCCTCTCAGAGTGCTGGGATTACAGGCATGAGCCACAGTGCCCAACCACTATCACCATCATTTAATACTGACTAAAAAAAGACCTATTCAATTACACATTTATCAGTGATTTTAAAAGGAAGGAAGTGGAAAAGGACAAATAAGGGGTTACTATAAGAAAACTGAACATTAAGAGGACTTAGATATCCAATTATTCTAAGGACCACATTTACTAGCCTCATTGAAGGTAGTGTGCCAATAGGCTAAGTCCTGGTCAACGGGATGTAAACAGAAGTGAATGTACAATTTTTAGGTCATTCTCCTAAGGAGAAAGATCCTGCCTTCCCCTTCCCACTGCTTGGAATGCAGATGTGTTGGTAATAACTGAAGCAGCCCTCTTAAACCAAAGAATGGGTGCCACCATTTGAGGATGGTAGAGTAATCAAATAAGAATAGTATAGTAATCAGATAAGAGGTGCTTGGGTCTGTGACACTTTGGAGACACCATATCATCCCCCAACTGACCACACACAGATTCTTATGCTGAAGAGAACTTCTTGCAGTAATTGAGCCTGTATCTTAACTCACACAGTACTTACATCCAACTTACATTTTGTATCACCTCGAGAAAGAACATGGATTCCCAACAAAGCTGGGTGCAAGCTGCGGAGTTCTTTTATGAAAAATCATGAGACTTTAAAAACAGGAAAGCACTAGAGAGAGCAGTCTAGATTACCAAATTATGACTTTTCCATTGCACAAGATGATTGTTGCTTTTCTTTATATCCCAGTTTCATGTAGCATCTGGTGCATAATAGGCCCCTGATAGATATTCGTGGAATTGAATTCAATTTAACAATAAGGAAGCAGTCCATAGAATCCAAGTGAAATGTCCAAACATATATACATAGAGGCAGGCCTCCAGTTGTCGGTATGTGTGGTGATGGATAAAGGAGTGTTCCCATGACTCATTCATTGGCACAAAACCAAACTACTATGTAAGAAAGATCAGAAAGAATGGATTTGCTGTTGTATGTTACCGTATTATAAGAACTGAGATGGACTTTATAGGTCATCCAACCTAACTAAACCTGTGGTTTTCAACTCTGTTTCATCATACGAACACCTACGGAGCTTTTAAAAATTACAGATGCTAGGATCCCCATCACAGACAAAATAAATTAGCATCTGGGGGTGTGGAGCCCAGGCAAGTTTTTCTTTTTTTTTTTTTTTGATTGAGACTTACTGCTTAAGACTTAATCTTTTAAGAAACCCTGGATTAATCCATGGTTTAACTTTAAACGATAAGTCTCAATTGAAAAAACAAAAACAAAAACAAAAAAACTTGCCTGGGATCCACATCCCTAGATGCCAGTTTATTTGGTCTGGGATGAGGGTCTTAGCATTTGTGACTTTTTAAAAGCTCTCTAGGTGTTTCTATCATAAAACAGGGTTAAGAACTACTGGTTTAGTTGTAAAACACCCTTGTAGTTGTATCGAAATTGTACTTGTGTTTTTCTAGAGAAAGGATTTACATTTCATCAGGGCCGCATGATAGGAAAATAAAAATCACGACTCAAAAGAAGGTATATGTTGCTAAGTTTGCTATCACTAATTAGCTGTGTGACCACAGACAAGTCACTTGACTGCCCCATCTACAAACGGGTGATACATCTATATATTGCAAGGTTGTAAAGATTAAAGGTAAATAAATAAACCCATCACTGTGCCAGAAATAATTTAGGCTTAATTAATAACAGCTATTAATGCTTTTATGTCCTTTTAGAACATATCAATACATGATCGGCCAGCTTCTGATTGAAAACCTTCAGGGATGGAAAATTCCTTTCCTGAAGAAGCTCATTCCATTTTGGAGCAGCTCAGAGGGTGGGAAGGTTCTGTATAATGAGCTGCCAGCCTGACGGCACATGATGCCCATTGACCTCTGGGTCATTTCTCTTTGGAAGCCACAGAAAGGGCTTAACATCACTTTCCCAAAGGAGAATAATTTAGAAGTTTAGGTGCTCATTGTTCTGCAAGAAGAAGAATATAAGATGTTATTTAGGATTCGCCCTAGCTCTAAAATTCTATGGTTGTAATATTTTAGAGGTGTTTGTTATGTGCTTGAGGTAGATGGGAGTATATAAAGTTTTGTTTGTTTGTTTGTTTGTTTTTGAGACGGAGTCTCGCTCTGTCACCCAGGCTGGAGTGCAGTGCTGTGATCTCAGCTCACTGCAACCTCCGCCTCCTGGGTTCAAGTGATTCTCCTGCCTTAGCCTCCTGAGTAGCTGGGATTACAGGCGGCCGCTACCACGCCTGGCTAATTTTGGTATTTTTAGTAGAGATGAGGTTTTGCCATGTTGGCCAGGCTGGTTTTGAACTCCTGACCTCAGGTGATCCACCTTCCTCAGCCTCCCAAAGTGCTGGGATTACAGGCATGAGCCACTGTGCCTGGCCAGGAGTATACAAAGTATTAACACCTTAATGGTATTTGCAAATACATTCAAGCAAAATCTGCTTTTAAATTAAAAAAATTATACTTGGCCAGATGCAGCAGCTCACACCTATAATCCCAACATTTTGGGAGGCTGAGGTGTGAGGACTGCCTGAGCCCAGGAGTTTGAGGGTACAGTGAGCTATGATTGCACTACTGTACTCCAGCCTGGGTGACAGAGTAAGACCCTGTCTCTTAAAAAAAAAAAAAAATTGCTTACAGGTTTTCAGTTGAACTGAATTTGGTTATTTTTAAGGTTCATTCTGTATCTATTTTTTTTTTACTTTGGGTTTTTAGCATATAATTTAAAAGAATTTTCAAAGGCATTTTCTTTGGCAATGTTTGAAATATGTATTTCCTGTAAGCTCTAGTAATCTATAGTTTCTTAAATATAAAAATAGCTAACATAGTAACAATGTATACTTTTAGATACATAAAAGCGTAGATTAGTACATAGATATGAAAATCTGGACTTAAAAAAAGCAAGGAAAAAGCTCAACAGTAACAAAAGTATAAAAATTTGATAAAAGTTTGTAGTTCTTTAAGAAGTTAAATTCAAATGTAAGGAATACTAAAGTTATTTTATAGAAATTCTTCCATTTGTAATTTTTATTTCTAACATTGTGTAAGACATGGTGTTCTCAGAAGTTTTTTTGGAGATGGAGTCTCATTATGTCGCTTAGGCTGGTCTGGAATTCCTGAGCTCAAGCAATCCTTCTGCCTCAGCTACCTGAGTAGCCGGGACTACAGGTATGTACTACTGCACCTGGTTAGATAGAATTTATTTAAGTGCAAGGGTGTTTTCAGGGATACCACTTATTTATTTATTTAAAGACAGTATCTTGCTCTGTCACCCAGGCTGGAGTGCAGTGGCACAATCTTGGCTCACTGCAACCTCTGCCTCCCAGGTTCAAGTGACTCTGATGCCTCAGCTTCCTGAGTAGCTGGGACTACACGCATGCACCACATTTGGCTAATTTTTGTATTTTTGGAAGAGATGTTTGTATTTTTAGCAGACGTGCTATGTTGGCCAGTCTGGTCTGGAACTCCTGACCTCAAGCAATCTGCCTGCCTTGGCCTCCCAAAGTACTGGGATTACAAGCATGAGCCACCATGCCCAGCCAGGGATGCCCTTTTAAACATCTGCTTATGGGGTTGGGACAGAGAGGTGAACACAGGATATTTGCATACAACTTGCACAGAATCAATGATACAGTTGTGGCTTGATTTCAGGTTGCATGACACTCCTGTCAAGTAATAAAAGATCTGATCTCATTGCAATCACCTCCTTTTCTTTTGGAACCCAGTCTATAACACATGCTACTCCAGTAGAGCAAAACCTGAAGTACAAGTTGTGTACATTGTCAGGTGGGTATTCCAGTGCCTTCTGCTGATCTGCTACCATGCCCTGGCCAATCACCTGCGACATGTCTTCCTGAAATGTAAAAGACACAACCAATTAGCAGCACTGGAGGGCCCAACTGCACTTTCCAATTTCAGCAGTCAGTACATTTAATTGGGCTTCAGTCTACTACAAAAATGACCGAAACACTGGGCAAAAAAGTTTCATTCACCCACTGGACTGACTTAGAAAAGAACGCAGCCTTGTCATTTCCAAATGTTTTTTCAGTCCTTTCAGATCTGCGAGGCCTTAGACCTATCAGATTTCTTTTCTTTCTCTCTCTTTCTTTCTTTCTTTCCTTCCTTCCTTTTTTTTTTTTTTTTTTTAAATAAAGACAGGGTCTTTTTATGTTGCTGCTGGAGCACAGTGGGCTCTTCACAGGCATGATCTCACTACTCATCAGCACAGGGGTTTTGACCTGCCCTTTTTAGGCATCTTGGTGGTCCCTCCTCCCAGGAGGTCACCATATCGATGCCGAACTTAGTGTGGACACCCAATTGGCAGAGCTTGTTATAGCCTCAAACTTCTGGATTCAAGTGATCCTCCTGTCTCAGCCTCCTGGGTAGCTGGGACTACAGGAGCAACAACACACTCGGCCAGATATCGTTTGATGGTCATTCCAGCCAGAGTTTTTTCTTTTTCTGTCACACTAATATCCTTATAAAACTATCTGTTCAGGGCTCAAATCCTGAATTAGAGATTTTTCCCCTTAAGACATTCAATTAGAATTAAAACAAACAAACAAACAAACAAAAAAGCACCAAAAAACCACGGTTACAGAAAATACTATGGGATAAAGGTAAGTTAGCTCTAAACTCCATAGAGGAGTGCAGAATCCAGACTTGGGAGAATCCAAACTGCCTAAACATGCGGAAAGCTGAAGCATAGTGAAAGGGCAGTTTATTAACTGAAATAAATAATAACACCAATAAATTGACCAGAATGTTCATATCTGCCTCCCATCATATCCTATCTTTTCTTTAGTAGGTACATTTTCAGGGGAAATTATCATATGATGGTTCACTTTAAGGCATAAACTCCTGCAACTGGGCTTGGACAAAGCAGGGAACAGGAGAGACTGGTTTGGATAGGAGAAAGCATGGGTTTACTCTGTCTTCTCGGTAACATCTGAGAGACACCAGGTTGGTGAGGTGTAGCACACAGACAGCAGGTAGGTAAGCTGATCTGGAAGACAGGGATAACTTGTATAATGAATGGAATGCTAGGAGTTTGTGATCCTAGCTCTTCAACTTAAGAGTTCTGCAAACCTGGCCAGGCGTGGTGGCTCATGCCTGTAGTCTCAGCACTTTGGGAGGCCAAGGAGGGTGGATCACCTGAGGTCAGGAGTTTGAGACCAGTCTGGCCAATATAGTAAAACGCTGTCTGTACTAAAAATACAAAAATTAGCTGGGTGTCTGTAATCCCAGCTACTCGGAAGTCTGAGACAGGAGAATCACTTGACCTGGGGAGGCGGAGGTTGCAGTGAGCTGAGATTGCGCCACTGCACTCCAGACTGGGTGACAGAGCACGATTCTGTCTCAAACAAACAAACAAACAAACAAACAAACAAAAGTGTTCTACAAACCTGAACAGGTTATTTGCCCTCTTCAAGCCTTGATTTCCCCATCCATAAAATGGAAAAAAATAAAAGTAGCTATACGTTCAGGATGCTGAAAAGATTAAATGGAGTAATACATGAGCGCCCTTAGCATCACACCTGGCAATTAATAATATTTACTAAAGATGCTAATGATGATAGTAAATGGAATTGGACTATGGTTGCCCCATGTTCCTAAATGCATTATAGGGGACTAGTGCAGGGTCCAGAACAAGCACCCAGAACCACAGTGCTAAGAGTCTTAGAAGTGACCTAGAAAGGACACTTTTCTCCTGTAGGAAATGCTGGAGGCAACCTTTAGAGTAAATAGGACTAACTTACCTTTCTATCTCACAGTATTTTCTGTAACTGATTTTTGTTTGTTTTTTTGCCTTTAATTGAATTTGACATCCTCTGCCTCAGGTTTCTTTCCTAGGCATGTTCACACAGCCTTTCTTCACCAGGCTCCCATTAGATGTATAACAATACAATAGATAATGATCAAGTTATGCCTAGCTGTTCATTATTATTAGATTCGGTTACAGTCTCATCCCATGTCCTTAATTCCCCATTGGTTTACAACCTGAAAGATTTAACCCCAGTAAGCACTATCCTGACACTGGAGCCTAGGTCCCCTGGATGACCATGCCTACACTTAGCTGCCTACTTTCTAACTGATTTTTTTTGGGGCCAGACTTATCTCACTCATTCAGATTCTCTTTAATTTTCCCCTTCTAGGAGATAGATCCTAGGACTGCTCCTCTGCCTTTTATAAACTTTGCTTCTAAACAGATGATATGATATAAAATGAACTAAAAAATCATCTCATCTTGTAATTCTTCCCTTAGCCCCTGGGTGGTGCCCCTTCCACAACATGAACCAATTAATTTTATCACTTATTTGCAAGATTATATTGTATTTTTTTACGTATGTGTCTCCCATACCTTAATAAGATCGACTTTGTCTTATTTCTTTCTTCAACATATGGCAGAATAGAACACGGGCTTTATAAAGTGTTAGTGCTGAATGAATCAAAGTTCGGGAACTTAAATCTTAAATGCACCTGGGTGGATTTGAGAGCCAGCCATGAAAGGAAGGCCACACAGTGAAGGGGACTCTGTGGCCCTTACTTTAAAGGATCACACTTGAAAAGAGAGAAAAAAAGACGTGGAAAGGTCAATAAGGCTCATAGGAATTTTTAGAGGAAAAACTCTAACCTGCCTCGTAAACGGAAACTATTGGTGTTATTCCTACCAATGTGTATCAAATGGCCTTAGGAGGAGCAAAAGTAAGTGCCTCTGTTTGAAAATGATATTGCAGATCTGCAATTCGACCTTGGTTTCAACCCCAATTAACCAGCAGTGGGACAAAGGACCTAACTTCCCTAACTACAGGTTTAAAAATCCAATTTGCATATCACATAAAACTAATTTGGTTTTATTCTTCCTTATCATTTGCACTTTTTAGTAAAAGGAAATGGCAGTGGAATAACAGCCAGAAAATCTGGGTTCAGACTGGTTCTGCTACTTACTAGCAGTAACAGTGTTTGGAAAGCTTCATTTCTGGCAACATTAAAAATGCAGTAACAGCTACGTGAGTAAGGGGCTGTGAGCAAAGCTGAATTCAATACTTGCTTACTGAGCACCTACTACATGCCAGCAGATAGAAAAAGAAAAACAGAGGAGCCCTTGCCCTGAGCACATTTACAGATCTAGTGAGACAGACGTTAAAGAAATAATCATAGAAATGATGAATACAACTGAATGGCAGATGCATGAAGTGTGTGGTGGGGAGCAGGAGCCTGAAGTGTCAGTTTCCTTCCTTTTCTCTTGTCCTCAAAAATGTAGGAGGAGGAAATGAGGAAATTGGATTTCTGAAAAGCATCTGGTCTAACACACTGTCCCATTTCTTATACTGATTACCCTTAAACATCCCAGCTAAGGGACGGAGCTGGTACATGATGATGACGAAAATTATGAAATCTAAAATCTCCTGAGTATGGCTGTGCCTGTTACTGAGCTAGGCATATTACACATTTGTTGTGTACACAACAGACCTGTGTATTAGGGACAATTACTGCTCTTATTTAGAGCTGAGGTAACTGGGGCACAGAGAGGCTAAATTATTATTTGCCAAGCCAGAACTTAACCCAGACGCATCTTGCTGCAGAGCCCTTGCTCTTAACTGAGGAGTAAACCTCCAGGGAAAGGGAAAGTACTGTTTACCTCCTCCCAGCAACACACGCAAGATTCTTAGCCAGCAATGACATAGTGATTCCATTTTTAGATTCAATATCAGGTCAGAACAAGTCATGCCTGCTTATTTTAAACTTGGATTGGGAAAAAAATCATGGCACTAGCCACGGCGGTGACCTTGGGTCACTTTCCTTCATGTTTTGTGTTTAAACATGAGTTTGTAATTTGCTAATTGCCCAATTATTACACCAAAGGAGCTCTTAATGCCTTCAAAACTGAGGTTTGGGGACATTCTAATGTGTTTCCTTTGCAAGGGACCTCTCCATAAGAAGACTGAAGAAGGGTTGTAGGAAGGTCATCTCATTTCATGAAAGAAACTGATATGACACATTCTGTCAGCATGATGCTATAATCTTCAGCACAGCACTATGAGCTCTGAAAGAAAAGGCTCTGTGGGCCAGGAAAATTACTGTGATCAAGTGAAGGAGCTTCTGCAGGGTGGACATAAAAGGCAATACCGGCAATACCCCGTATAACAGATGGGTGAGATGTCCAGCTGACAATCCCCAAAGCTGGTTGAACTCTGTCCCAAAGCTGGACAATCAAAATGCCCTGTCTCTCTGGCCACAGTAACTGCTCCAAGGGTGGACACTTGAACCACACAAGAACATTCTACGGATTTTCCAAAGTAGACCCAAGGGAAGAGTCAGCTCTTTTCTGGCAGAGAAGCTTAGGAGCTTCGGGCAGCCATACACACATCAGGCTGAAGAAACACATCTGCAGAAGAGTCAGATAAACAGAGAGAACCCTGGCAGCAGCAGGTCTCTGGTTCCAACCGCCTCTGAGGCTAAGTGTCAACCACATGCTGCCTGCAAGTATATGAAAAACAAACAAACAAACCTCTAGCCCTTGAGTAAATTTCTCCTTTTGTCTAAGTAATGTCAAATTGAGATTCTGTCACTTGCAACCAAGAGACTCCTAATTGAAACAGGGTGGAGCCCATCTCTCCCAGAAAATATCCACCAGGATAACAAACTCAGATGCATCCAGGAATCAGGCTGCAAGGGAGCCAACTGAAGATGAATGATGCAAACTGAGGATAAGACAACAAATTAGGCCAGGCGCAGTGGCTCATGCCTGTAATCCCAGCACTTTGGGAGGCTGAGGTGGGTGGATCACCTGAGTTCAGGAGACCAGCCTAGGGAACATGGTGAAACCCCATCTCTACAAAAAATACAAAA